AATATTATATAAATATTAAAATTAATAAAAAAAAATTAATACATAAATATAAATAAATAATTCATCTAACAGTACAGTACTACAGTGAGTAGAAAAAAAGTGTTGTAATAGAAAATGTAAATAGAAATAGAAACTAAATATTTTCCAAATGAAAATAAATAAAAATTTGATTAAAAATGTTTAAAAATAAGAATAATTAATTACATTGTTTTTATTAATTTAATGTTTTATTTAATAATGATTTATTTTATTTTAATAGCAATATTTGAACTTGCATTTAAACTTACATTTCTTACAAAACTGATAAATAAATAGCACACATAAGAGTGAAATAATCTTTCTTTCATAGAAAACAGAGAACATTCTAGTAGCCCAGGTGTTTTGAAGACTCAGACCTTTCCGATACGCTTGCCCTCCACCTTCAGCGCCTTCATCTTGGAGAAATAATGGTAGTATGTGACGACATAAGTGATGACAGACTTCTCGTCGGGATGGTCTACGCTGATATCTGCGAAAAAGACAGCGTGTTATTGTGTATTATTTCATGATGAGGTCCGGAGATGTAGAAGCACGGTGGGCTCTTACCTTCTGGGTCCAGGAGTTTGGTGAGCCCCAGGTGCTGCTCCGCCAGGTTGAAGGCGTTCTGCAGGTTGTGGTGAGCGTTGGACTTCTTCAGTTTGTCGAAATCAATCAGGTCTGGCCTGGAATGCATTGAGAATGAAGCATATTAAGTTTGCGAGAAAGAAATGCATTGATGCAGGTGGACTGAAATCAGTACCTGTGTTTGTGAATGAGGGCGTTGAAAGCCATTCCATCACGCCAGCTGGTGGTGAAGTTGTGGATGTTGACGTTGGGATAGCTGTGTAACACAAAGCAGAGCTGTCAGACATCAAGGACTCGAGCACGTGTGTGTCTTTATTCTGGACATCTACCCACCCTGCGGTCTTCATCTGGCACCACAGAAGCAGCGCGTCCTTGGCTGAGCGTTTCTCTTTATTGTCTTCTGTCTCAACGCTGATGTCTTGAATCTGTTACACACACGATAACACAACATAATGGATTTTTTGTGCATTATTTGTGCATTTCTTTGGCCGTAACGTCATGAAAATGTGATGCTATGTGATGTTACGTGATGCTATTAGGGGAGGGGTTTTCAAGCAACAGCAATAACAACAACAGAAAAAGAAAAGATTTAAAAAATTGTTAAGATAAGTTTAAAAATTAAATCAAATTAATAGTCAAATTTGGGTTAAATAAATATATAAATATAAATAATACATCTATCAGTACAGTACTAGAGTGAGTAGGGAAAAGTAATAGAGACTAAATATTTTTCATGTAAAAAAATAATAAATGGATAAAAATTGTTAAAATAAATAAACAATTTTGATTAAAATTAATTATAAAAATGTATTTATTTAAATAAATAAACACATATATAAATATAAATAAAAAATCTAAAAGTATACAGTACAATAGTGAGAAGGAAAATTAAAAAAAAAATGTAAAGTAAGAGAAACTAAATATTTTCTAAATGAAACTAAATACAAAATCTGAC